GGTCTTATCTCTTGGGGCAACGCGTGTAAAACTTTCCTTGACCAAATTCTTGTCCTTCAAAAACGCGCACTGCGTTTAATATATTTTGCTGAAACAAACGACCACGCAATACCTTTTTTTGTCAATGCAAAAATTCTACCTTTACAGTCTCTATATTATGAATCCGTTTGTAGTCTTATGTATGATGTAAATAAAAACACTGCTCCGGTTAATATTTCGAAACTCTTCTCTCGAATTTCTAGTGTTCATACTTACAACACACGTGCCTCAACCTCTGAACATTTTTATACTAAAGAATCTCGACTCAATGTCAAACGAAATGCTTTTTCGCGTGTTGGGGTCAAAATTTGGAATGGGATACCTCAAATTCTTAAAGAAAGACCGAAAAAAGCTTTTAAAAGATCACTAAAAGAAATGCTACTCGATTTCCTTGAAACTGAAGACTCCTATATTGATGTGGATACGATCATCGTGAAAATGAAAAAGTAATTCTCTTGTCCTTTATTTTCATTTTATTTTATTTTTAAAATTTCACTTTAATTATTATCCTTGTATTTAAGTAGAACGTATCTATTTAATGTAAAATGTATATGCTTATATAACTTCTAATTTCTTTGTATTTGTCTAGTTTGTTGTAAATTATGTAGCCTGGCCTGCCTCGAATAGCCTCGCTAACTGCAGGCCAGTCCCAATGTATCTTTTGCTATATTTTCAAATTTAAATAAAGTTGAAAGTTGAAAGTTGAAGTTATGTTTATCGCACGCTTGACTTCGACGCACGTTGATTTGGAAACACTGACGCAAAAGTATTATTTCTATTTGAAAGGGGAATTTGTAGTATTGACACCGTCGACTTTTTCCCATTTGTAACTGCGGTTTCGGTATTTGGCTAAATTTTGATGCGGTATTGCGGTATTCTCGCGCTACCATGTGCGGTATTGCGGTATTCGTACCCCCCCCTTACGCCCCACTCCATAAAACGTCGTCACGTGTTGTGGTATCCAGTATAGTCAATATGTTAAATAAACCTTCCTAAGATTGCTACTTTTTGAAGTTGTCCGCAGTGCCGAAGTTCCTTTTGCGGTCCTCATTGCTGGAAACAAACTCCTGTGCGTCGTCAGCTTTAAAGAGACACTTCTGTTCTCAGCTTGTGACCATTCAACATTACTACTTGGTTGCTAAACCTTTCGTCACCCATCCTGGATCGAAGCCACGTCTTCATACGCCGTACGTACAGATGAGAATGAACCCTAACCAGCAGCGCTGGTAGTAGGATTTACAGCAAGCAGCTTACAGATTAGTTTGGACTTCCTGAATTAGCTTCTTTTCCGGTTCTGGAATCTTTAACACCACCAACAGGATCCCATTCTTCCATAGGTCAAAGTCCAATAATTCCACGGGAGTTTTTTCCATGTCAACTGGAATACTATAATATAAATCCCAGCAATAAAAGTGGTAGGGCTATAGCCCTACCAGCCCCTCCCCCTCCGCGGTCCTTGTTGAGCCCGCTGAAACTAGACCTAGATCCAATCTTCCTGAGTCGAGAGTTGCTTTTCCAAGGTACAATCAGCTAACCTAATAACACCGAAGAAACGTTTTTATGGCTGGCACAGAATATTTTAGCGAAACAGCTCAGCCACGCGACCACATACCTGTCAACACCATGCGGAAATCACACACTATGGCGGCACTGCTAAGACTATCCACAACCACGCATAATATTCTGACGTTTAACAAGAAAAAAGAAAAAAGAGCGTTTAAAAACTTATGTACAAGACTTGGAGCGTGGCCTTTCGAATCGAAAAAAGGCAGATAGTAAGGCATACTGAGCAAGGCCTGCCTTACAGCGCGTCTCTCGGCTCTAAAGCGTTTTACGAAAACTGAGTGATCAGCTGAATTTCAGTTCTTCGCAACTCTTTATCTCTCCAGGGGGCCTGGACGATGATGTCGGAAAATAAACAGGCGTAAGCAGACACTACATACGTGCAAAAAACATGACAAGTAAGGATTTCAAAACAGTCATCCGTGTGAACACAACAGGCTGCAAGATGCTTCGAAGAGACGACGAGGGAACAGCACAGACAGCCCATACTCTGTTCCGTTGGAGAGCAACCTGAGAACGAGGTGGTGGCTGAGGACCCTGGAAACGAACTATTGTGATATCGCGTGACACCTAGAGCGAAACAAACACCTCCCAGCCTTGTTGTGCGCCTTGCAACATGCAAATATTGAACTACTGGAAGTGAGTAAAACTGTAATTGCTTTGAAACTGATGAATCAAACCCGTTGTCGAAATGTCTGCCGTCGAATACAACAGCCTGATCTTCGAAATAAGCCAGAGGCTAGATGAACTGAATGTGGGAAGGAAGTTGATCGTTATGTGTAGAGGGAAGGTGGCGCCTGGAAGCGAAGGAAACATTCAAGATGCTTTCTCGTTGTTCGTAGAACTGGAAGGAAAACGATTTCTAGGACCTGATAATCTGGATGTGTTGAAAGACCTGTTAAAAGGTGTTAAGGAATGGGTCCTTTTGGAAGAAGCTGAAAAATTTGAGAGCAAAAGAAAAGAATACGACGTCCTACTTAAGAAGATCATTCGAGTACTCGACGAGCTAAATGATGTGGAACGGCTCGTTTCAATTTGCAGAGAAAAGATACCGCCAGAAAGGCAAGGCAACATTCCTGATGTACGATCATTGTTTAAGGAGCTGGAAATCAACAACTGTCTGGGAATTAACCGTCTTGGCATCTTGAAAGAGATTTTGGCCCAGACAGAGAAAAGCGATCTGTTAACTACCGTTAAGGACTTTGAGGAGCGCAGAACTCGGGAAGATAAGTTTGAAAGGCGAAAAGGTATGCACCGTGCATTGAATGTCTTTTGTGATTATTTTCATTTCGTTGTTTGTATGAGTTTTTCAGTCTTATGACAGTCCATCGTCCATAATTTTAAGACTGACTTCGACCCACCTCGATGGCGTTTGTGTATATGCGATTTAAAACCTTACTTGAACTGTTTTTTTTTGTAGCACGAGCAGCTGCTATTGTTTCGGCGGCCAGGGATAATTTGACTGGAGGTAAGATTTAGTACAGTTAAATCAACGATTACAAACATATGAAATGTAGTATTGTAGTATTGTCTGGGGTAATTGCGGCAAAACGCTCTCTGAAAGATTACAAAAACTGCGGAATCGTGCTGCTCGCATTTTGACTTTCTCCTGCTATGATGATAACGCTCGCTACTTGTTACAACAACTTGGTTGGAAAGACCTGATCACCCAGCGTCAAATTCAAGTAGCTTTAATGGTGTTCAAAGCTCTTAATGATCTGGCTCCTGACTATTTATCCTCTATGTTTACTGAGCGCAGTGCGTCAGGCTATGTCTTAAGGGACTCTACGAACAAATTAAATGTCCCTTTACCAAGAACCAACTACCTAAAAAGGAGCTTTAGCTATAGAGGTGCAACTCTCTGGAACAGTCTGCCCTGCAATCTTAGGCAAGAGAAATCTCTAAGTCGTTTTAAGCAATTGTTAAACTTTAATGTCTTATTGGTGCTTAATTGCTTCTATGTAACATATTCTTCACTTTTCACTACAATCTAACTTCAACCTCTCTTCTCCTTTTGATTTTCCCTTTATCTGGTAGCCTCATGATCAAACAGTCTAAGCAACTTTCTACTGCCGTTGTCGTGTATGTTCAGATAACCTTAAGAATTTTCTTATCTTTGTGTAGTTTTGACTATCAAGACTGTTTTCAAAGGGATTGCAGGAGGTATTGTCATTGCTTCCGCCTTTGAACTCCTGAGACGTGGTTCCACATATGAGCAGCTGGTCACTGCCATAAATGACTGTCTTCTTCCTGCTGGTGCTAAACTGATACAAATAGCTGAAGGCAGTGTGAATCTCAAAGTTCAGGCAGAGAATCGTTTAGCTCTTGACAGTTTATGGCGAATGTACAAGAATGGCACACTGAAAGCCCGCCTGGAAGCCTTGTTTGTCACAGATGAAATGAGAGAAGTTGCTGGTGGAGAAGGAGTGGAAATTATTGTGACCATCGACGAACAAGAATATGAGAGAGCTCGAGACGAGTTAANGCGTGAATCTCAAAGTTCAGGCAGAGAATCGTTTAGCTCTTGACAGTTTATGGCGAATGTACAAGAATGGCACACTGAAAGCCCGCGTGGAAGCCTTGTTTGTCACAGATGAAATGAGAGAAGTTGCTGGTGGAGAAGGAGTGGAAATTATTGTGACCATCGACGAACAAGAATATGAGAGAGCTCGAGACGAGTTAAGTACTCAGGCAAGAGGTAAGAAAATTGTCACCGCGATGACTCCCCACTTTAAAAAAAGAACACAATAGTAAAATGGGCTTTGGTGAAAAGGTGATATCTTTCTTTCTTACTTCTTTCTGAATTTTGCGTGCGATTGCTAAAGCTACAATCGGCGACAAAATTGTTGAGACATTGTACTCAAATAGGGTAACTTCAGAGAACAAAAGAATCCACACCACTCTCCCCTCCCCTCCATTCAAGGTTGAGGTGTTTGTTGTTTTCTGTAGGTTGCTCGAACAGCGGCACAACATTGTGTGAAGGGGGCGGGGGATGAAAAGGTTTATTTTCCCCTTTTGAAGTCAGAGAAACGTCAGGAAGCCCCTTTACGGCAATAGTTTCTCAACTAATTTTGTCGCCGATTTAGTTCGAAGCACACAGTACCCATCTCCTTCTATCCCCGGGCATTTGCCGGAAATTTGTCCTTTTTTCCTCTGCAAATACCCCTCATTACAGCCAGTCGATTTATACAAATATCTTTCCGTGGAACTTAAAAAATATGAACATACGTCCCACCCCGGGCTCGGGGAACAAAGCAAAAGTTATGCCATTTCTTTTAAAATCACAAATCTGCGAATAAAGTCAATGATTGAATGAAACAGCATGAAACTCGCAAGCAACCGAGTGCTTAATAAAAATACATTGTAGTATAGAATATATGTTCGCGAGTTTTCCCGACATTATCGGGGTGCACCGCAAAGAATTGAAGAACGGCTTGACTTTCCAAGATTTTACCGAGAGACACGTCGCGTAATTGAACCTTTCTCGAAAGCACCAGTCATCTAATAAGATAAACTTTCCTGTGGTTGATTTCTTCTTTAATCCGAAAGAAGAGGACTAGATCATTCATCGTTTTTGGTATTCTTAGTCAACTTCACTTTATCATTCAATTTTTTAGTTCTTTACTGACTTTATGTGACTTCGTTCACCTACCATTTCATTTATATATAATTGTGTATATTTTCACTACCATTTTGGCTTCAGATGATCCTTTAGGCAAAGAAGAAAAGCGGCCTAAATACCTCGATCAGGAGAAATACGACTACATTCAGAATTATTTAGAACAAGCCAGAGAAGAAACCAAGGATGGCGATTCACACAGCGTAACGACAGACACAAGTGACAGTGGAATGCTGGGATCAAATAGTGCATCATCTGAAGTTGGGACAGAGGACACCAGCGGTAAGCATATACTTTGAAATAAAGCCTTTCTAACTAGTCTTGTAAAAATTTTATATAGAAATCAACTCCTTGTAATTTTTATATTGCTCCCCTTGACTGGGAAACCCAGTCTTACAGTGCTGACTACTATATAACCGGGGCCACCTAGACAAAGTTGACCAATTGGATGGCAGGAAAATAACAATACATTCCGAGAAAGTTGCTTGTCAATTATAAATACCGTGGAACGAAATCAACAACATGGATTGAAATCAACCAATTACCACTTAGAGACGTGACCTTACACCCGCTGAAGAAAGCCTATGCTTTCTGAAAGGTCCGTTAGAGTGTTGACGGAGGAGAAAAATGTAAACGTTAGTTACGTTTTTGACTTGAGGTCGCATGTTTATTGCAAATAAAATTCGTCACGCGATTAAAGCGATTTGCCAGCCCAATTAATCGTCAGGTCTGTCGTCAAATTGCGCGAGTTTCGCGGGAATAAAAAAAATTGCGACAACTCTGATCTACTGCGCAAGACTTACGCAAGACTCACGCAATGCTCTAAACCGGTGAAGAACAAGGAAAAGCCATTTTTTTAAAATTTTATTTGTCCAGATTTCTGGACGGATTTGAACGGTTGTCGGCAGAGGCTACTTTTTGCACGCCAGCTCACACAGCGAAAATGTAGCCTCTGCTTGCAGGGTACGGTTACAGTAGTCGCACTATAAAAGCGAAATTTG